CTCATGTATGCAAATCTTACTATAAGCACCTACCATGGTTATGTATACCATACCAAAGTTCATATTATTGTGAATTATAGTTCCGAAGTTGTAGCTGATACAAAATTTCACGCCTTTGGGATGTGCCCCTCTCAAAAAACTAATTTATATATACCTTACTATAAGCATTTATCATAGACCTCCACCAGTGTTGCCATTTTAGCCGTTTTCCGGCTAGATTTAGCCGGCTGCGATAGCAAACAGCCGAAGAAATTTCGATTTAGCCGGCAGCCGATTTGTTAGCCGTTTTACAGAAAAAAATTAGCCGTTTTTAGCCGATTTTGCTATTTCCTTGTTTTCTTAAATTTCAAATAGGTAATATGTTTCCATTTTTGACTAAGCGACCCAAAATCTATTAGAAATGACTACTAGCCTTATCGTGGAAAAAATTTTCATGTCAGCCAGGGTTGTATGAAATTGGGCCGATTTCGCTTATTTTTATTTGAAACGAAGAAGGGATTTTCTTCATAAAATGTTTGTTATAAATGTCTTAATTTTAAGTGTGAAGTTTTATTCGCAAACTTAGAAAATAAGAAATTGTTTCACTGTTAAGACACTTAAGAAGCGTTTGTGGTTGGATTTATTTAGTGCCAACAAAAGAATAAATATTACATGTAGATATTGTCTTCCCAGATAGCGCATATTCAATTCTGCCTATATTACAAAACATCATTTTTGCACACTCCCAAAAGTTTAAGGTAAGGGGAAAATTGATATTTTCAAGCACTATGTACACATATGTATTTTTTTAAACAAACTTTTTTGCTGAGAACTTATTTAAATTCCAAAAACCGAATGCCAACTTGAATTAAAGGAGCCAAAATGAAAATAAAAGAGCACAAATTTATATGTAAAGCAAAACTCTCTGGGAATCCTACGAGACATCTGCCGGTCATATGACCGGTCATCTAAATGGGAGATCTGCAGTTTTTTGGGATCATATTTTGCATCAGAATTGAAGGGATTTCTGAAAAATCTAACTAGTTCTTTTGTGTAACTGTGATTTTGCGTCCCTTGTCAACATATGGCCTCGGTTGAAGTTAACTAAGGGTCGTTGTTTTACTGCCTTAAAATTGAAGGGAAATCTTTACAGCGTTTTTTATGTGTATTGGTTTCTGTTTGAGTGTATTGAGAATCGGTCAGCCTGAAAAGGCCTTGTAGGGAAGACAATAGGTAGTAAGAAAAAATGCTTCCAAATTCTCTCTCATGTAGAGAAATTTGCAATTTTCTGTACGAACGCAAATTTGCAAGTTTTTCTGCTAACTAGTGTCCACGGTTGCATTTCAAACAAAAGAAATTTGTATAGAATTTTTAAAATTCTTTCAGAGGGGCAACAAAACAGGATCTACGTGTATATATCTTGTCAGTCCGACTTTCTTCAACATACGTTTCAATTTCTTTGTCGGGTTTACTATATCGACTCTGGTTGAGATTGCATTCCGATTAAGAATACAGTTTTTTTTGCCGAGTACCTTTCAAATCATTAGAATTAACTAAAATAATTAAGAAGACAAGTATTAACCTACTTTTTTCATTTTAAAATTGCTCCAATTTGTAAATTTTTAAATTTAACGACCTTGTTTATTCAAATTATCTTCGAAAAAAAATTCAACCATGTGCCACAATCATATGTTTTTCCTAATTGCAAATTCTTGCTGGCAAAATTTTTTCCGGCTCGAATTTCTAACTTCTCTCCAAGAAATAGCCTTTTTCTCGTGATTTATTTAAGTAAAACATGTGAAATTTAGTTGAAACATTTCAGCCGTTTTTAGCCGGTTTTATTTGCCAATTTAGCCGGTTCGTCCAAAAAGCTGTGGCAACACTGCCCTCTACACCAAATTTCAAGTTCATGTGACAAGTGATTCTGAAGTTATACCTGTTAAAAATGTCACGCCCTCATGTACAAACTCATTTCTATACACCCTGCTATAAGCACTTACCATAGATATAGTATCTGAATTCCAAATTCAATCTCATGTAACTTATGGTTCCGAAGTTATAGCTAATAAAAATTTTACGCCTGGGATGTGCCACACCCCCTTTTACAAACTATTTATATCTAATCTACTATAAGCAACTACCATAGATATATGTATATGTATAGCTGATAAAAAATTTCCACGCCCATGGAAGGTGCCACGCCCGCTTTACAAACTTATTTATACTTACATATATACCCTACTATAAGCACCCACCATAGATACGTCTGCGTACCAAATTTCAATTTCACCTGGCATATGGTGCCAAAGTTAAAGCTGATACAATTTTCCACGCCTAGGGATGTGCCACGCCACCTTTTGCAAACCCATTTATATATAAGCACCTACCGTAGATGCGTCTGCATACACAATTTCAATTTCATGTGACTTATGGTTCCGAAGTTATAGCTGATACAAATTTTCACGCCTATTGGATTGGCACCTACCATTGATATGTCTGCATACCAAATTTCAAGGTCATGGGTCTTATAGTTCCGAAGTTATAGCAGATAAAAAATTCCACGCCTATCGGATGTACCACGCCCTATTTTCCAAACTCATTTTTATATACCCTACTATAAGCACCTACCATAAATATGACTGCATACCAAATTTAAGTTCATGTGACATATAGTTCCGGAATTATAGCTGATAAAATATCCCTATGGGATGTGCCACGCCCACTTTTACAAACTCATTTATATATACCCTACTATAAGCACTTAACATATCTATGACTGAATAACAAATTTCAAGTTCATATGGCTTATAGTTTCGGGTTTATAGCTGAAAATATAATCCACGCCTATTGGATGTGCCACGCCCACTTTTGCAAACTCATTTATATATACCCTACTATAAGCACCTACCATATATGTATATGACTGCATACCAAATTTCAAGTTCATGTGACTTATGGTTCGGAAGTTATTGTTGATAAAAAATTTCTCGCCTATTGGATGTGTCACGCCCACTTTTGCAAATTCACTTATATATACCCTACTATAAGCACCTACCATATATATGACTGAATAACAAATTTCAAGTTCATATGACTCATAGTTTCGGATTTATAGATGATAATATAATCCACGCCTATTGGATGTGCCACGGCCACTTTTACAAATTCATTTATATATACCATACTATAAGCATCTACCATATATATGACTGCATACCGAATTTCAAGTTCATGTGACTTATAGTTCCGAAGTTATGGCTGATTAAAAATTTCACGCCTATGGGAGGTGCCATGCCCCCTTGTCGAATCGAAATTTTTTTCATTCGATTTAATTGACAATAGTCAAACTACATAACGTAGACCTAAAATTTCTACAGCGAAAGTAGAACTTTGAAATCGATTTTAAGCGGTCGTTATTCATATACCCACATACATACATACATATATTACTTTTCATATCAATTCAAGTGTATTACATGCGCCCCAC